CTGTTCATATAATTTACTTCTATTCAATGATGATGATCATTTTGTGGTTCAATATGATGGAGAAGAATAAATACATGATTTACTGGCCAGGTTTTTTTCTGTTTGTTTGTTTGGCTAGGTTGTCATTTTTCATTTATACGATTCTTTCCTTTCACTAAACGGTATATTGATGATGATGGTGTAGTAGTTTTCAGTTTTAATTTTGAATTTTATCAATCATACTGTTTTGAGATCATTGTAATGGAAAAAATACCGTTCTTTTTTCTTTTTTTGGTCGTAAACAAAAATTACCCCAAAATCGCGGATATAAGACGCTTCTTATACAAAAAATTGTCTTATTTTTAATGGTTACATTATGGAAGAAAAAAAAATATCTGCGGTTCGCCAGTTGCGTCTTTTAGTCGTGATTTTAAGGTATAATAACCGGTCAGTTGTATCGGTATGGTATGGTGGGTGTGATATGGACAAATTTTGTAATTGAGAAATCACAAAAAAAAACAACATAAAACTATATTCTCAAGGGACTACTTTTGTAAACATTCTGGACGCAAAAGTGAAACAAACAAACAAAAAATATTCCGGTATAAATGTCTATTGGTGAATCCAAGAAAATAGAAATAATTTGATTTAATCACAAGTTGAACTATTTTTTTTCTGGTGAGTTGAGTTTAGTCGAGTAATGTCAGCCATTCAGTAGGCCTTGCATTATTATTATATTTTTGTTAGTTTCAACAACAACAACAACCAAAAATATCCGGCCATATAGTCCAACTAAAATGAAATGATTTTGTTGTTGTTGTTGTTGTTGCAGAACATGGTTGTCGCTGTTGAATTCAGGTTTGAAAAGAATCCATCATCATCATCATCATCATCATTAACATTAATGACTCTCTGTATCATCATATTATAAAGATGATGAAACGATTCTTGTTATTTTTTTTTCGTAAAAAAAAGATCAAGTAAAAAAATCCACCCAATCTCAATCTCAATCGTTTTGACTTTCATTCTATTTGTATAATTGGATGTCATGACTCATTTTTTGAGCTATATAATATGTGTGTGTGTGAATAGTTGATTCTACCTGGATCAATTTTTCATGTTCACCAGCCAGTCAACCATTAGAATAACACACACACACACACATTAGACAACAGCTGGATGATCAAGCAAAAAAAAATGGAAAAAAATGCAAAATTTTTAGTTTAAACATTCCACCAGCATTGGTTTTTTTCCAATATTTGGAATATTTAATTCGTGAAAAACAAATAAATGTCTTTTTTTCCGTTTCCATTCGTTTGTTATATGATTGTTTCTGGTCATGTTAAATTATCATTTCATCATAATCTATTTTTACTTTCTATTTGTTTGTCATTCCATAAATTTTTTTTTGGGGGAGGAGAAGGGAAGAAAAAGATTAAAAGTGGGCAACAATTCACAATTCTGGATTCTGGATTTTTTATTCATTATCAAAATCATAAAAATTGTGTGTGTGTGAGTGTGTATAATTATCATTATGGACAATAATGGTGTGATACAATTATTGTGATTGCTATTTGTGTGTGTGTGAATATTCTCCCATTTGGGATGATGAAACAGAAAAAAAAAGTTTTCAACAAAATTCTCTCTCTCTCTCTCTCCATACAATACAGAAAATTGAATTTCTCATTTGCCAATCACAATTTTAAGCTTGAAACAAAAAAACTTTGCATCAAATTCTGAACATCTGGCTATTCAATGTTCGAATTTCATTTGTTCAACATTACATCATATAACATCAATGATTTGATTAGCATAATCTGTTGTTTTTTTTTCATTCTCTCTCCCTCTCTCCGTTGTCTCATTTTGTCCACAATTTACGTTTGTTTGTTATTTGAGATGTTGCAATCTATTTGTATGTCTATCCGATTTATTTATTCAATTTTCCGTTGAAAGGAAGCGGAAAATTGTTTTCAATTTAGTCTGGATAAAATTATTTCTCTAATTTCATTCACTCTGAATTTTTGTTATTTTCAATATGCTCAATCAATTTATCAATACTTCAATAGTGGCTAATATTATCAATCAATCGATAATAATACTAAAACTCGTTTCCCGTATTGTATGGTTGTATATTTATATATTTAATTATTATGATTGTTGATCACGAAGATCGTCAATCACGATCGATTACGGGAAACCACGAGAATCGATATATCCGTAGTTCAATTAATTAATTTCAGTGATAATTTAATTTTTTTTTTTGCCCAATATTTTATTTTTACCGACCAAAATTAGGAGAAAATCACGATTATTGAAATGAATATCAGTGGAGATGAAAAAAAAAAAAAAAAAAAAGGACCATAAGAGAAATTTCTTGGCAAAAACCATGAAATCATGTCAATTTGTTATATATGTGATTATTATTGTGAAAACAAACCGGCTTTTTTTTCTAAAATTGATGAAAAATGATCTTTCATCATAATGAACATATATATGACGAATTTTTTTTTTGTACACGAATATATTTTGCAATATGCAAATAAGAATCCGTTGAAAATGATTGCAAGTTCAAAAAAAAATGCTATTCGTCAAAAGAAACAAAAAAAAATGTGCGAAAAAAAAGAAAGAAAAATGTCACCAAAAGACATTGAAATTTAAATTCAATATAAAATAGAGAATATAATGGTGAATGAAAGAAGGGAAAAATCATTACGTTTGCAAGGAAATAATTTCACCAAAAAAAAAAAAAAAATTTCAGTTTGAAAATGAAATGAAAAGTCTTGTTTCTTTCGTTATTTTTTTTTCTCTAGTTTATGATTGCCAAATACACACACATACATACAAAATCATTCGCTTGCTGTCGAATTTAACACTTTTTTTCTTGGGGATGTTAAACATATTGGCTTCATTTCACTGTGATCATCATTTAATTCATCATCATCGATCAAGCCATGTCATGAAAAGTGACATTTTTTTTTTGTTCTCCTCAATCTATCTATCTACATGTTCTATATCGGATAATGTTTCCGGAATGTTACACGTTTGGATTAAGATCCATATGTCAATCAAAAAAAAAAAAAAAAAATAGAAAAAAAAGAAAATCCAGAATTGATTATCATGATTGTTGATTGAATGATTTTGATTGAATTATATTATAATAGTGTGTGACATCTAAAAAAACAGATGATGATGAATAGCTCTAGTGGTATGCATAATAATAATAATAACATTCATTGACATATATAACTATTCTGATTCTGTATTGCCTGGTTTGCAAATTTTTTTTTTCTCGTTTCATCAGAATTTTTTATTCTTGGTTTTTTTTTTATTCTCTATATTCTTGTCAGTTTCTTTTTTTTTTGTTGCCTGCATTTGATGCTGATGAGGATGATGAATAAATATGATTAATTAACTTTTGACAATCACACACACGCAGACAATGAAGAAATTTTTTTTTGTTCTAGCAATGTAAGCAAAAGTAAATAGAATAGAAAAGAATAAATGTGAGAAAACAAAAGAAAAAGATTTTGTTGAAGAATAGAAGAAACAAATTCTGCTTCATTCAGAATTGGATTGAATGCAGCCAAATAACGAAAAAAAATGAGACAAAGTGAAAAAATTAATATGAATAATTATTATGAAGAATGAATGGAAATGAATTATGTTTTTTTTTTTTTATTTCACTTGTCTGTATTTATTTTTTTCTGAAGAATTGATTATCTTTTTTTTGTAACAACAACAACAATAATAATAACAAGAGAAAAAAAAATTCGAGAATCAAAGAATATTGTGTAACGTTGTGGTGACATTTTTGTTGTTGTTGTTGTTGCCATTTTTTCTTTATTTCATGATGAATTGTGTGGTTTTGCCAGGAAATTTTCATCATTTTTTTTTCTGCTCAAGCATTGACTTTAGAAATGTATGTATGTATTAATCACCTAAACCAACTCCTTGATGACGAATTTAGCACACACACACACATAGACAGAGAGAGAATGATTTAGATTTGAATTTTCAAGTAAAAAAAAATACTAAAACCAAGCAAAAACATTTTGTTTTTTGCAATCATCATTAATCTATAGTGTGTGTGTGTATGGGTGCGTGTGTGTGGATTAGGATTTTACAAATTTTTCTTCCACTATTCTGGTGTTTTCATCCGCACACACACGAGCATTGTTGTCGTCGAATTTTTTTTCATACATTTCATACACATACGGGCAAAAAAAACGGGTTGAACAAAAAAAACAACAACAACAAAACATTACAATTCGAGATTTATTATTTGGCACACGAACACTTTGGTATATATACATTGAAAGAATGAATGAATGAAAAAAAACCGGCAGCAAAAAAAAAAATAATAAAAAAAATTTAGCACAAATATAGGAAAACAATCAACTAAACTAAAAAACAAAAACAAAAACAAAACAAAAAAAAAATTCTCGACACACGATATATTCGCGTGTTTTCTCTCTCTTTCTTTTTTTCATCTTCCAACACTAAAGGTATATCGAAGGGGTCAGCCCCAGCTTCCCCACCACACAAATAATATTTATTCGCTATGCTAGTTATTGCCGTATATTTTGTTACACAACACAAATCATCATTATACGGACAATATAACCGTAAATTTTAAAACGAATGAATAACAACAACAACAACAAAATACTTGGCATCTTTTTTTTTGATTTATTATCATTGTTGGAATTTACGGTGGAGAAAAAAAATTTATTTTTGCTTTTTTTCTGTTCTTTTTTCTGTTTTTTATTTCTCCACAATTGACCATTGATCAATTTTTTTTTCACTTCTTCGATCTAACAACTACTTATTTTGTTTTTCTCTTTTTTTTTATTTTCTTGGTGTTCTTGTAATCATCATCATCATCATGTTTATCACGATCAACAATAAAAATGATCGAACAAATGTCATACAACAACAACAACAAATGATTTACCTGTTCAATAACAAAACAAATCATCATCATCATCATCAACCATTGTTATTATTACCAACATCATCAGAGATTGCCCGTGTACGAGCTTCATTATTTCAGATTAATGGTGATGAACATAAACCATTGATATTACCTGAACCTGATGGTCCTATTGTAAATAAAATGGAAAAAGTTTATGTGCCTGTTGATGAACATCCAGATGTAAAGTTTTTTTTTGTTTTGTTTTGTTCGTTTCACTTTCATTCGATTAAATTTTTGTAATTTAATTAGTTCAATTTTGTTGGAAGAATTCTTGGACCACGTGGTATGACTGCCAAACAATTGGAACAAGAAACTGGCTGTAAAATTATGGTCCGTGGTCGTGGTTCTATGCGTGACAAGAAAAAGGTTTGATGTTTTTTTTTGTTTGAAATCTCGATTGTCATGATTCAATCAATCAATCAATCAATACAAATAGGAGGAACAGAATCGTGGCAAACCAAATTGGGAACATTTAAACGATAAATTACATGTATTGATTACTGTGGAAGATACAGAGAATCGTGCCATAGCCAAAATGGAACGTGCAATTGAAGAGGTTAAAAAATTATTGGTTCCAATCGTAAGTGGTGTCAATTTTTTCAATTTTTCACGAATGTATGGCCATCTCGAATTGGTGATAAATTTTTTGTCGAAACTTATTCGACAGAAATACATGAAATTGAGTCTAGTTTTTAGTTAGTTTCTTATCAACCAAATATAATGGTGATGGCCTAAACCTTATGTTTTATTCATTTCTGTCATTCATTCATCTATTTTCAATTGAATTGAATTTTTTTTCGTTTTATCATTTTTTCATGTTGTTTTCGACGATCAACTACTAATCATTTGGAACATTCGCATAAAACTCAATATTTTTTTTTTCATTGGAAATTCAAAGACTGAAGGTGAAGATGAGCTTAAAAAACGACAACTAATGGAACTGGCCATCATCAATGGAACTTATCGTGATTCTGGTCAAAGAAATTCTGGTTAGTAGATATTTTTTTATCAACTCCAAAATGAAGGGTCATCAATTGATATTTTATTTTATTTTTTTTTATTATAGCTATTGCAGCCGCTACCGCTGCTGCTGCTGCTGCTACATCACCAAATCTAGTTAGTGCACAACATTTGGTCAATTTGGGATTGGATCCAGAACAATTGAATGCATATGCCACTGGTGGTGGTACTGGTGGTGTACCGATTGCATTAGCAGCTGCAGCTGCTGCTGCTGCTGCTACTACACATCCTCATCAAATTCGTCATCATCCACATCATTTGACAACCGGACATCCTGGTCATCATCATCAGCCATCACCGATTGGTGCACCGCTTATATTGGCCGGTACACCAACAGCACGTCAATTTGCTCATCCAGCTGCGGCGGCTGCAACACCACTGCCGCATCAATCGGCTCTTGTTCATCATCTTCATTATGGCCAAGCATTGCTCAATGGAAATTCAGCAGCCGCATCGATTCCACCTCAATTAATAACGGCAACTAGTACGCCCGATGGTACATTATTATATACAACAAATGTACATCCATCAGCGTTGAATCCTCATCATCCACATCAAACTCATCATCATCAATATGCCGCAACGGCTGCCGAATTTCATCATCAATATTCTGCATCATTAGCTGCTGCACAATTACTTGATTATCAAGCAGCCGCTGCAGTTGCAGCAGCTGGTGCACCTGTCATCACACCGGAACAATCCGGAACATCCGTATCGGCATCAACAGCAACAGGATCATCAGCATCGTCATCATCAGCCACATCCGGTGGGTTAACAACTTATGGTAGTTAGTTTGTCACAATTAAAACAAAAATAGCCAAATCTTTTCTATTCTTGTCTTTTTTTTTTCCAGATTTTTTATACAAAAAAAAAATTCTATATTTCCTTTTATTTCTTTGAACAGTTTAGTTTTATTACTGAATTTATTTGTTTTTTTTTTTTTTGTTTTTTTATTCGTTACATTTTCATTCACGTTCTATTATTACCAATACAATATGTGTGCCTTGCCAATGATATATTATCATTTAATCAATCAATCAATCAATCAATCATTGATGGATTGATGATGATGATGATGATAATGGTGATGATGAAACTTATAGCTTTAAACACATTTATTACCATACACACACATGGCCATTATTTTTTCTATGTGTGTGTGTGTGTATCGATCACATCCAAAATCACATCATTATTTATTTTATGTTTTTGATCTATTTGAATTTTTTTTCTGTTTCTCTCCCTCTCTTTTTTTGTTTGTTTTGTTTGATGACCTACAATTTTCAAAAACTCTTTTATTACCTGTTTGGCCATCATCATTAGGTTTTTGTTCAGGTATTCAAAACAAAACAAAACAGGAAAAACATTGTGATTTTTTTTGTTATTGCTTTAATCGCATCAAATAATTTTTTTTGTCTGAATACGAAATGATATACTTAATTCAATTGAATGATTGATTGATTGATTGATTGATCGATTGAAACGTATTCTATTCATAATCAAATCAATTAATGTCATTCTTGAAATGAACATAAACCAAAAAAACCAAAAAATAAACAAAATGATGATATATAGATGAGTATTATAGTGGTGAAAAAAAAGATGAAACAAACTAAAGGCAGCTCAATTCACAGAATGAAATAAAAAAAACCAACAAAAGATTTTTTTTTTATTCCACCAAATTCAAATCTCTTGATGATGATGATGAATTTAATGCAACAACAACAACAACACAGAACAAACTATAAATTGTCAATGAAACAATACAAATGCAACGAAGAAACAAAAAATTTTAGCCCATTTGAAATCAATTAAAAACAATCAGTCAGTAGAAACATATAACAAGATGAAAAGTTTTTTTTCCATTTTGTCATTTTTGCTTGTTTGCAACCAAAAGTTGTATATTATAATACACACACACACACATCCATAAACAATTGAATTGAATCTAATCGAATTTGCAGAAACTTTTTTTTGGTTTTCCTTTTATTTTTGTCGCCAGTTTTTTTTTCTTTTGCACTACGACAATTTTGTCGTCACCCAGAATAGAAAAAAAAACGAACGAACGAACCACTAATTATCCAATAATTGATGTTTGATTTGGATAAATTTTTTTTATTGTTCGCTAGAATTTTATTCTATTCTTTCAAAATAGTGCATGTTTTATTAATTCTTTACCTTTAAAGTTACAAAATTATAATGAAAAGAGAAAAAGTTTTAAATTCTTGATACAAAAGGAAACAAAACCGAAACCAAAAAAAAAGAAGAAGAAAAAATTCACAACTTCCATGATGTGGCCCAAAGCCTATTCAGAATCTAGAATTTCTGATTCTTCTTCTTCATCTTTTTTTTCCTCTGAAATTTCTTTGCTCGTTTTTTTCTTTCATCACTTTGCCTGTCATCAAGAATACAGAAAAAAGGCATTGTATTTCAGTTGAAATTCTATTGTTGTTGTTGTTTTTTTCCTATTCACATGTCATCATCAACATTACATCATGAATCGGTTGTGTGTGTGTGGGGGTTTTTTTTCTCTCTCTCTATATCCTCCTACTAATGATGATGATTGAAACACACATCAACCATTCAACCAACTTTGAATTCTCCAAAAAAAATACAGATCATGTATGGTTCCATCATCTTTTTTTTACCGAATTTTTTCTTCGGCCCGAAGTAAAAAAAAATAGATATTTTCCATTCATATGGTCTTTTGTTGTTGTCAAATACACACAGTTATTCATATACATAAAAAAATAAGCCAATTTTTTGAATTTAGTTTCATTACAACTGAAGCTGATTTGTTTTTTTTTCTTCACCTTTTTTCCGGCACTTCCACATCCGGTTGTTGCATTTTTTTTTGCTACTTAAATTTTTTTTTTGTTTATTATTAGAATACAGTTTTTGTGGTAGTCATCACCATTCGTTCATTTTTTAATTATCGAAATCATTAGCCATCCATTTTTGTTTGTCAGCATATACGCTGCCCACCAAGCTTTGTTTTTTTTTTGTCAAACATTTACCTCCGTTTTTTTTATTCACCTTGGCAGTTCCAATAATCTATTAAATACTCAGTTTGAATTTGCAATTTTCTTAATTTTTTCATTTTTTTTCTCCATATAAAACACTATATATAATTTTTTTGTTGTTGTTGTTGTTGTTGCCCATCCATTTATGGTTCGATGATGATGATGATGATTATTATTACTGTCCATTTATTTATTACTAATGAATAAAGAAAAATCTGCAAATTTTTTCTTTTTTTTTCATTTTGTTTTGCCCGTTAGCCATTTTTGGATTTCCTCGTCATTTTTTTTTTTACTTTTTTACTTCTCTACTTTATTATTATTATTACTCTGCCATAATCTTTTCAATTTCCGTCTTTATCTATCTCTCTCTCTCTCTCTCTTTCTCTCTCACTTGTTTTTTTTGCAAGAAAATAATGCCAAAAACTTTTGATTGAATTTGTTCAGGGTCCATCATCATCATCATCATCATCATCATCGTAATCGTAATCGACAACTAACATCTTTTCATTCCTCTTATTTTGTTTGAATGTTCGTGTGTGTGTGTGTGTGTGTGTTTCTCTTTCTCTCTCATTCTCTTTCTCTTTTTTTCATACAAAAATATCTTTTCCATTTTGTATGAATGGATGCAAGTATTTTTTCTTTTCTTCGGTTCTCCTACAAGCCGCATCCAATGCAACAGTCTTTTTTTTCCACATTTCTTAGCTCTCCGTTTTTCTTTCTTTCTTTCTTCACATTCACAAGATTCATTCATATCATCGTATTATTGTTGATCATCATCAACTAATATATAATATAATATCACTGAAACTGTTCAATTTTCATTCACAAATTTAAGCTGCTACTTTATTATTTTCTTTTTCTGCTTTTTCTGCTTCCAATTATCAATCCGATGATGATGATGATGATCATGAGATTGGCCGCCGCATCAATTTTCATCTTTTTTTCTTTTCTTCGGTTCTCCTACAAGCCGCATCCAATGCAACAGTCTTTTTCCACATTTCTTAGCTCTCCGTTTTCTTTCTTTCTTCACATTCACAAGATTCATTCATATTCATCGTATTATTGTTGATCATCATCATCATCGTTGTCGTCGTCGCCGTCATCGTGTAAATGTTCTTGATTCGTCGATAAGTAAGAATTTACCTTAGCAACTTGCACATACACACACACACACACACACACATACAAAACATGCAAAATGAAAATAAATTCACAACATAAATCCTGAATTCTAATCAAATATAAATAATAATCATCATCATCATCGTTGTCGTCGTCGCCGTCATCGTGTAAATGTTCTTGATTCGTCGATAAGTAAGAATTTACCTTAGCAACTTGCACATACACATGAAGCAAATCATCCAGTCATTTTATTTTTCTTCATCGATTTTATTTTTGACATTTAATTTTTCCACTTGAAAATTATTGTATGAATTTTGAATTTTTGATTTTTTTTCACTGTTCATTATTCCGGTGATGAGATAAAAGTGTTATTTAAATTTAAATTTTGTTTTCATCATCTCATCCACTATATTTGAACATGAAAAAGATATATTATATATATTCAAATGTAAAAGTTTAACAACATCAACACAGAGAAAAAAAAACATTTTTTCCATCACTACTATTGAATAGTTGTGTATATCATCAATTTTTTTAAAATAAATTTGTTTACGTTCTTTGTATGTTTGTTGTTGTTGTTGTTTGTTATCATCATCTATTGACATTCATTCATTCATCTAATCAGTTTTTATTTGTTCTTGTTCTTCTTGTTGTTGTTGTTTTTGTCTGTTTTATGATTTGAAAAAAAAAATTTTTTCCGCATCTCATTGCACATTGATTTTGTTTTTATTCCGCTCCTTTTCTTCTCCTACTTTTTCACCACAAAAAAAGGTATGTAACTCACAAGACTAGTGATTGGAATAAGAATTTCCTTTTTCATCGTAATACTTTTTGTTCTTATTCTTGCCTTTTTCTCTCTCTCTCTCTCTGTCATCATATAATTAATTTATCATCAAATTCATCACTTTTTTTTGCACATAACTTTTATGATTTTCTGTGAACAAAATAAAATTTGGTTTTTCAAAAAAAAAACGTAAGAAGATTGTAAAAATAAAATGAAGAATTCTCAATTGTCAATATATAAATAATTAATTTGAATGATAATGATGATGATGATGATGAACACATAAACAATAAATTCTAGTAGAATATTCTCCCAGTAGTAGTAGTAGTAGTAGTCGATATTGGATGTTAGTGTCAAGAAACAAAACAAACAAACAAACAAAAGTTTCAAGAATTTCTTTACACTAACCTTCCATTCTTATTATTATCATCATTATGATTCTGGACCATAAATGTAATATGTATAAATAAATGAATACCAACCACCATAATACACAGGGATTTTTTTTTAACCACATTTTCACTATGATGATCATTATTATTATATCTCGGGATTTCTTTATTTTGGACATCATGTGTTTTTGTTTTGTTTTTCTGTTCTGAAAGATCCCTAATTAAAGTGTATGACTAGACAATGTTGTTGTTTGGCTACGTAATTTTTTATTTCTGTTTATATGGGTTTTCATCCATCCATCCATGCTGGCTTCCTATCATGATCGTGATGATGATTATTCATTCCTTTATATATATGTTTTGCATGTTAAAATGATGATGATGATGATGTGTATTTTGTTTTGTTCATGAATTATGGATTTTCAGTTAATATTTTCTCCATTCATATGAATAGTTGAATCAAATTTAATTTAATTAAATTTTTTTCATTTTATTTCTCGTTCAGGTTTTTCAGATTTTTTGTTCTCTTGCTTTAATTATTCTTTCTCTATGAATTTCCTATGTGATTATTAGAATTCAAATCAAAAAATTTATTCTGAGGTAAAATAGAAAAAAAATTATAACCGGAAGAAATGGTAATTTCAAACTCTGTTGAAGTAGATGGAAATTTTTTTCGACAATATATTCATCAATGTATTAATGAATGAATGGATGTCAAGTGGATATGTTTTGTATTGTTGATCATCATCATCATCGTCATCATCATGATGGTGATCATGACAACATCAAGAAAATATTTTTTCAAGTAGCCCATTCATTCATTCATTTATTCATTCATAGTTACCTTTATTGATTTGATCCAAAGTCTGATGATGAGATGATTATAAGCAAGCAAGCAAGCAAACACAATCAATATTCCATATGTACATCAGGTCATCATCAAACTTTATGCTTTTTTTTTATGTATTTCCTTTTCAATCATCATCATTATCATACAAATATTTGAATTATTATTATTGTTCTAGAATTTGGCACGTGTTGTCCATCATTTTGTTTTGTTTTTTTTTTGTTGTTGTTGTTCGATTTGTTCCAGATCATGATGATGATAATGATCATTCCATGTGAATTGAAATCTAATTGAAAATTGTCATTGTTTTATTGTGTGCAATGATGATGACAAACAAAAAAAATTTTCCATTTCTCTTGTCCATCAGCAATATGATTTGTTTTTTAGTTTCTGTTGCTCAAATCAAATATGAATATTGTTTCATTCTTTCAGATTACTGTCAATCAAAATTAATGAAAATCAACAAACAAACAAACAAAAATAAGCCACATGGAAATCAATTACACAATCAATTGATTTGCAATTTTATTTCTGTTAATCTTTATTTTATAAATTCGCTAATAAACAAAACAAAATAATTGATTTCTTAATTTTAAATCATCAACAACAACAATCAATGATGAATAAATTCATTCAAAAACATCAACTAGATCGTAATGTTTGTGAACGATTACTATCTGGTAATATTGAACCATTGGATTTGTATGAACAACTGGTTGAAATCTAGTTATATTTATTCTAAAAAAAAAATATTCAATTTACATTTTTGTCATGTTTCATGTTGTTTTTGTTATTTTGTATTGGAGAAATAAATTCATTGTGTCGATATCGTTGAAAATAATGTCAGCCATTATAATCATAATTCTAATTTTAATGACCCATGGTCATTGTTCAAAAGTTCAATATGTTCAATATCAACCAATGATGATGAATAATAGTGATCAATTATTGTATGAACAATCAAGATGTTCACTTGAATATCAAACAATTGATCTTGATTCGGAATCATCAACAACAAATTCAATAAATGGTCATCAATCGATTCATTATTATCCACGTTGTATTCGTGTATCTCGTTGTATTGGATGTTGTTCAATGCAAGGACAAATCAATTTCGATGATTGGAATCAACGTGAATGTCGTCCAACAAATATTCAATATAAAACCATCATACAAACAGCTCAATCAATCGATCATTATCATCATAATCCGGATATGATGATGAAATTATATCATCGTAAAGTTCAAGTTGCCTATCATACTGGTTGTCAATGTTATTGTCGACAACATCTCATGAATCAATGTTCAAATCAGCGACAAAAATTCTATAATGATTCATGTCGTTGTGAATGTAGACCGGATCTAGTACATGAACGATTTGAATGTACAAAACGATTGACCATACATGGCCATATGTTCTGGGATAATGATCGTTGTGAATGTCGATGTCCACAATTCTATTATGCTTATAAACATCATTTACATCCAATGTCTATAGATACATTTTGTCCACGTGGACATCGTTTCGATATGAACAATTGTAAATGTATCAAACAAAAAAATAATATTCTGTGAAACAAAAAACAAATGAAACTGAAATTATTATAATAATAAATGAATAAATAAAACGTTTATGAATGACATTTTCTCTTGATCCATATATTTTGATCCATCTTTTTCCATTCTGAAATCATTCAAGTATGACCGTAATCAAGTAAAAGGTGGCCACCATCACCGCCACCAGGTGCCATGTAAATGTATATATGTGTGTATATGCTTGGTACCTACCGCCGGTGCAAAATTGGATTGACATCTGCACAATTTTTTTTTTTAATTTTCATTACTACTCTCTATCCTTGATCCGGGTTGAATTTTTTTTTCTTCTGGATAAATCTAGATCCTCAGGAAAAAAGATACATTGATCATAACATTATCAACCATCAATCGGTCAGCATCGTTTTTGTAAAAATGTTGAAAAAAACGTTTTTTATTGTTATCTTACTAATGATTGAAAAAATTCAATTGAAATCAATGGATGATATTGAGAAACGATCCATATCTTCACCATCTTTGACATTAGAACAAATGTTGATAAAAATTGGCCGATTGGATTCCATGAAATCAACGCCAGCCATTCATCATCATCCACAAACGGCCAAAAATTTTCTTGGTGAATTTGCTCGATTCTATAATGTTGGTGTTGTTTTCGACGAAACACCGGTTAAATCTAACCATGAATACCAAAATCCAATTATTTCAATTGAATCGACAAAATCAAAGTTTCAGAAACCCAAACGTAGAGGTTTGTTGATTTTTTTCCGACTCTTTTCACTGAATTCTATGATTTTCTCAATGTTTTTTTTGAAAAATCGAAGAAATTTTTTCGATAGCCGATATACAACCACAAGCTGAATGTGTACCTGAATTAAAAACAATACAATTGAATACAGCATCTGCAACTGCAGGTGATGTTGGTCAACAACAACAACAACAGCATCATTGGCATCGATCAAATAACCAGGATCTTTACTATCCACATTGTATACGGTTACCTCGTTGTGGTGGCTGTTGTCCATCACAGCGGTTACTCTGTCGACCTAAATCAATTACATGGCATAATGTTTCCGTAAGTAAGAAGAAAATTCCAAAGAATTTATAATAAGAATATTTTTTTTCTATTAATCCACACACACACACACACATATGTTAACAGGTTATGCATGTACAATATTCACCAACACAGCGACGATTCCGTTTTAGTGGAATTCAACACATACGTGTTGAATATCATCAACAATGTGGCTGTGAATGTATTCAACAATCAAAGGATTGTAATCATGGACAAATCTATCGGCCAAATGAATGTCGTTGTGTTTGTTCATTAAATGATCGTCTACAATGTGTACGTCAGAATAATTATCGTAATCAATCTATGCCAACGTTTCGTTTTTGGAATGAAATCAACTGTCAATGTCAATGTCGATTACCAACCAGTATAAATCAATCGAAACAAATATCAAAAATAGAAAATTGTCCATCAGGTTATCATTTTAATTATGTGAGCTGCAGGTCAGTAGATGGCGAAACTATTCCAATTATTATCTATATTTGTTTTTCAATTAATTTTCTCTTTTCCAATTATAATAAAAGATGTGAACAAATTGCTATTAGAAAATTAAATAGGACAGAAGATCCAATCAATTCAGCTTCATTATCATCCACTACACGGATGAATCGATCTATTATCAATAATTATCATCATAGTAATCATCGATCGAATGTTCAACAAAAACAACAACAACAACAACATCTGTTTACATTCAATCAGAATAACCGATTTCATCGATTATTTTTTCGTCAACTAACATCATCAACATCAACATCATCATCATCGACATTCGTATCACTAAATAAATTACCAACAATAGAAAAAAAAGAAACAAGATGATTATAAAGAGGATAATAATATATATATATGTCAATAAAAGAAAATAAGATAAACCAGGCCGTTGGTGGCAGCATCGTCGATAATAATGACAAATTGATTTAACCATTAAAAAAAAAGTTTATTATTGATTAAAAATAAACAAAAAAAAAAAAAAAAAAATAGAATTCCTACTACAATCTATGTATGACTCTTTGTTTTGGATACATCATCATATGCCATCATCATTGTGTCTGGTATTTTTATTTTTTTTTCTTCTTCTTCATCATCATTTCAATTCATTCGTATATACGAAGCATGTGAACAAAAAAAAAAAAAAATGAAAATGAAAATTCAAAAGAATTAATGACACACACACAATAATAATAATAATAATCATATGATGATTATGATAATAAATAAATGTGTGTGTAGTATTGCCTTGAAAATGAATCCAGAAAAAAAGTTTGAATGGAAAAAAACAGAATGGAAAAAAATTTCAGTCAACATTGTTACAATATGAATGAATGAATGAATGAATAAATGAATCGTGTGGTTACACTGATGTTTCTATCCATGGTAATCGATATTTCGCTTTTTGGCTGCTGATCATAGATCGAGGAGTTTGTGAAGGTGGCTTTATGAAGTCTTCAGATCAAACACTTGATAAGTTCAAGTGTATTGTCAATGAAATTAAACTGGAAACCGGAAATAACGTTTTATGCATTCGAACCGACATGGGCACAGAATTTCGTTCTGAGTTGTTTCAGAATTATTTAAGTGGTCATGGAATTATTCATGAAAAAGCATCTGTAAATACACCACAACAGAATGGTCGATGCGAACGTGCTATGCGTACACCGATGGATCACGCAATTTCAATGTTATTATCGACCGATCTACCCCGTTTTTTATGGGATGAAGCTGTTAATTGTTCGGCTTATTTGATGAATCTGGTTTTGAATTCTCGTAATGAAATACCGTATGAAAGTATTTTGGTATAAAACCTGATGTCTCAAATCTTCGTATTTTTGGTTCGGAAGGCCAAGCTTTGAATAAAATCGAAATAACAAATTTGATGCTAAATCAAAGTTTGTTCGAATGATTGGATACGAAGGTCAAACAATATATCGTGTTTATGTTTCTGGTGCACGTCGTGTTGAATTATGTTCATCTGTAGATTTCGATGAAAAACCTAAATGTTGTTCAGCCCATTGGTTTCGATGTCAACAAATCGACTATAAACAATTGTGAAAGTGAATCAAACACTGTTATTTCTTTTGTTGATTCTCGTGATGATGATGTTCCAAATCAAATTCCGATTTTCCTAATTTTCGTGGTCCTGGCCGACCAATTGGTGCTGTAAATCGTTTATTCCAACAGAAGTGAAGAACGTCTTCAGTCATTACGTGTTCTTCCTGGTCGTTCAATTGTTGGTGTGTGTGGCACGCTATGAACCATCTACGTTCAATGAGGCTATTAATAGTGATGAATCAGAAAAATGGCGATGAAGCAATGGATAAAGAATATAATCAATTAATTAAACATCAGACATGGCAGTTAGTTGATAAAACCAGATAATGAACCGATTATAACTGTGAAGTGGATCTTTACAATCAAGGACGATGGAAGATACAAAGCCCGTTTGGTGGCTCGTGGTTTTGAGCAATACTCACCAGATTCTTGGGATATTTATGCTCCTGTTGCTCAAAATCGGATGGATTCGTTTATTCTTTTTTTTAGTAGGCATCTTTGGGATATGGATTTAATAGCAGTTCGATTGTTCCAATGCTTTTTCTCAATGGTGATATTTATGAATCTGAATATAATCGATCAACCGTTAGGATATGATGATAAAACTGGACGTTTGTCCTGTTCGTTGAAGAAAGGTTTATATGGTCACTTCGACAAAGTCCCATGAAGCTTGGAATCGCGAGGGCTGATGAAGCTAATCATATCTTTGGGATTTCGTTCATCAACATTTGATCCTTGTTTATATATTAAGAGAAGGACAAATGAAACCTGATGTTAGGCATTGCCACGTCGACGATGCTCTTTTTGGCTTGAATGTTAATTAATCATAGCTCAGTCATTATAATTCCAATGTTTTTTTTCAAAGAATTCATTCGCCCAAAGTGAGAGTTAGTTATAGTGTGTATATTTCTTATCAAATTGAGTTTTTTCCTTGAATTTTTTTTTTACTTTTACCCGATTTCATATTTTTCTTGTGTGTGTGTGTGTGTGTGTGTGGCTACTACCCTTAAGGTAGGGATTATTGAACAGAAATAATAATATCTTTGAAATGGAAAAAAATTTTCTTCAAACATTCACGTTTGATTATTATTACAATTTTTTTCATTTTCACCGTAGAATCATTTCAAGTTGATGATTTGGATGAGAGAGAGAGAGATTAAGATACAGACAGACATATGATGATATATTTCGGACAGTAATCAAATGAACAACAAAAATATCGAGATTATGGCGACGGTAGTCTAAATGAAGGAGAAAAAAAAATGATTTTCATTACTAATCATGTATGGGTTCCAAGAGATCTATCCATGGATGATATATTATCGTAAAATCAAAAATTGGTGTGGACGAAAAAAGGATTTCTTTTAATATAATTGGTGTGTGTGTGTGTATGCGTGTCAATTGGAAATAGATGATGGAAGAGCTCAAGCTCAAGGAAAAATTATCATCATCATCATTATTATTATTATGAGCTTATATTTCGATTTTCTGGTTCTCGAATCATCGAATTTTAGTCGTATTCATCTCATCTCATTTCATCTCATTTCATCTCATTTCATTTTCATTTTCATTTCATCATCTTATATACTTTCAAAGATTTAATGCCTGGATTCTTTTTTATTTCATTTTCTTTGATCAACAAAAAAAAATTTACCTCGCTCTGTTTTTTTTTTCTTTCATTTCTCTCTTGTTTATCAACTTGACTGATGAAAATGGTACAACAAATAGGAGGAAGAAAAAAAAAATAAATGAGCAAATTATTGCTGATTAGTTATCATCATAGTTTGACAATAAGCCATTAACCCGGACATTTTATATATGATTACACACAAGCATTATTATTATTGCAAAACGGAAAATTGGTCATGTTGTGTGGCAAGATTTTTTTGATGTCCCCCCTTCCATAAACCAAGTACCAGTTTAATGATGATGATGATGATGAAGTCCACATATATATTATTGATTTAATTTCCTTGATGAAACTCCGGTAATTGTCATCATTATCATTATCATTATCATCATCATCTGTCAAAATACAAGAGTATCTTCCTTTTTTATAAGTAGAAATTTCGTGAAAGAAACAAAAAAAAAAGTATATTCAAAAAGGAAATTACTTTTGTCTACATATAGACAATGTAAAGAAATGAAAAATGAAACCCTTTAGTTGTTGTCTTGTTGTCCATCATAGCCTTGTAATAATATCATTTTTTTTCGACAAAAATAAATGTAACATTTGCGTGTTCCGGACAAAAAAAACTATAGTATAAAACACCCATTGTGAATGATAAGTGTTTATTTTTTTTGTGCGTTTTGTAGAGCAAAAAAAAAAACAAAGAAAAAAGAATCATTGAAAATTGTAAAACGGTATGCTGTTGTTGTTGTTGTTGTTTTTCTAAAAATAAATCGGTGAAAAAAAACAAACACACACACACACACACTGACAATGAACAAACATGAAAAATAACCAGAATTTTAGGTAGCAATGTTGTATACAACAAAAATAAAAATTGTGTTCATTTTGCATTCAATTTCTCGATGCAGTTGTCGTCGTTGTCATTGTAAATTGTTTGGTTGTTTCAATTCGTTTTCATTTTCATGCATTATATTTGGTTTATATTTCACATTTCGTTGGCTATTTTTTTTCCATGTGAATAAAAATGAGAATGTACCCGTTTTTTTTTCTCTCTCTCTCTCTGTGTGTGTGTGTGTGTGTACCCGCGAATAATAACGATGATCATTTTTTTTTTTTTTTTTTTTGCCGAAAGAAAATGTCGATTAATTTTTATTGTTATTTGTCCAATGATGATAATTGTTTTGTGTGTGTGTGTGTTCGGTATACTGTCCTTGTTACAATACATTACACCTATGAGTGGACCTATATGTTGCCTAAAAAAAAAGAATAATAAATTCTATCTTCATTTTGACTAATTCTACATTCGAATTCTTGTTTCAAGTGAAAAAAAAAGAAAAAGAAACTAATAAAAAAAACAAAACAAAACAACAAACAATCAACGGAATAATAACAAAACGTTTTTGGCCAATGTTTCAGTCACGAATATATCGATGTTGTTTTTTTTTGTTGTTGTTGTTGTTGTTGTTGTTGTCGTCAAAACACATTGTTGATGAATGAGATGATAAATTAAAAAAGGGCTGTATATATCAATAAACTTTATTTGTACACTATCCAGAAACAGAGGAAAAAAAAGATGATGATGAGACGAAAAAAAAAAAATTTTTTCGTTAAAACAAACAAAAAGAAATGAAATGAAAAAATGGGAAAATTCTTATTAGTTTTTCAATTTTCATTTCTGGATTCTTTTATTATTATTTTACTTTTGATTTGTCAGGAATTTTTTTCTTTTGCATTATTATCATCTCGATTCTTTTGCTTCCACCACCATCATCTTTCCTCTTTTTGTTTCAAAATTTTTTTTTTGATTAAATTTTTCAATTATCATTCAATTTGAATTTGATTTGATGATTGAATTGGAGAAAAAAAAACATTACCTTTACTATTCATTCATTCACTTTCAATTGTTTTCACAATTTTTTTTCTCCAATGACATTCATTCAATCTGATTTGACATTTGAATTTTTTTGTCTATTTTATTTCATTCATTTTTTAAAACTTTTCCACCATATTCTATGCAAACATCATCAACATCAACGAGTGTTCGAGTAGGTATATAGAGAACAAAAACAAAATTCAAATTTTTTTCTCCTTTTTGGGTTTTTGATGATTATGAAAAAAAATTTGTTTTACCATTGTCATCATATATAAAACGAAATAATAGAACAAAACAAAAATGAATTGTCACAAGATTCATTCGGGAAAATATTGAGAAAATTGGTTTCTTTTTTTTTTTTTTTTTTTTTGAAAATTGAGGCGAGCAAAAAAGAAAACTTATGGCTTTTTAAAAAAAAAAAAATAAATAAATATCCTATAACAAACGATTCTGATCCGGATCAATGTTCAAT